ATTTTATTTTATTATCTGAATTCTCAGATGAGAGCCAATGTTTTATTACAGCTTATTTAACTCAGACTTTCCAAGGCGAGCTATTTGATTGAGTCAAAGAAGACAGATTACTTTCACATTCACTGCAATCATTTCCTGAAGCTAGAAATGTTACAGAATGATAGATGAAGAAATTTTCACAGGGCTAAACTGACAATATTAGTCCTTAGGGAAAAAGTTTCTTCCTTATTTGAGACTTCATCTAAACCATCTCTGTTTTGGCAGACACCAGGTTTGCAAATACAGTCCTAAAGTTTTCAGGGGCTAGGAATCATTTTGAGCAAGGTAATATTGATTCCTTTCCTTGTTTACTTCACAGCAATAATATCGCAGTAGTTTTCACGTACTTTTGTAATGTAAATTACAAAATTATAATAAAGAATAAAGATCAATATAAATATAACATCAATAAAAAATATATGAAGAGAACTTTGATACAGAATGGAGAAGATAGGACTGTATACTATCCTGTCACATGATCACCCAGACATAAAGACTGTAGCTGTGGATGATAAGATGAGCCTGAGAAAGAACGAAGAGAAGAATCAGATATGCTGTTACATCTGCAGAATCTCTCACAGGAAAGGGAAGCTGAAGTGAGCTAATGAATGGGCAGAAGCAGATGAACTTAGAGGGGAGGGGGAAAAAATGAAATTGCTAGCAAGCAGAGATTCTTGGATTGCTGAAGAGATGCAGATTCCAAAATGGTTGAAGATACCAAACAGGAAGATGAAGTAGTATAGGAACAAGTAACATGGCAGAGATTTCCAAAAGTAGAAGGGGATCTGAAGAGAAAGGATGATCATGATTATGCTAGCAATCAGATATTACCAGACAAATTCCAACTAAAGATTTTGATTAACTCTATGAGGAATTCAACACAGCAACAGCTCAAGATAGATTTTATTTATTTATTTATTTATTGTTGCGATTTATATGCCGCCTTTCTCCCTAGGGACTCAAGGCGGCTTACAAAATGACAAATTCCAATACAAATCACAATGAAATAAAATTAAAATCAGCAACCCTATTAAAAACAGTTTAAAATTATGACAGTGTCATAATTTACACAATGTAAATAAAGATACACAATGTAATACTAATTGGGCCATCAAACTATTCTGTACATACATTCTCCTTTGAGCATAAAAAGGGGAAACTCTGAATGTTTAACTGAATGCTGCTTACATAGTTATTTAAAGAATTGGTCTCTTAGAGCAAACACTTTTCTATCCTTTGTTATGCTTCCTCCCCACCAAAAACAAACAAACAAAGAAATGATATGGCATGATTCTCTTGAAGGTCTTATGTCTCATCTAATTCCTACATGGGCCAGTGACTGCTTTCAAAATTCAGCAGAGAAAAGAGAATCAATCACCAGCAATTTGGGACTCCCTTTTTGTTTTCATCCAAGAAAACCAACTACCTTTGGTTGCATTATTGCCATTCCACTGCTATATATGCACAACAGTATGATCGTTAAGAATCACAATCTGTGTATTATTTTCCTTTTCTCTTGCCATCCATTTTCTTTGTGTGTGAAGTTCTTTCAGACTGTAAGCCTGAGGGCCAGGGCTGCTTTTCTTATTAATACCTCCAATGCTCAGGCTGCTGAATATAAATGCTCTAAAATCACAAAATGAATGTCAAGAGCAGCATGCTGAAAGACTGTGGATACTTTCTTCATGAGGCAAATTTCCAGTTAAGAAGAGACAGAATCTCTATGGATATGATAGTCTGTATGGGCCTTCACAGACTTTCATTTCTGTTTCTTTTCTGTTTAACTGAGTGGCGTATTGGGAAGGCCAATACTTTTATGGAGATGTGGGGGGAGGACCTTTGAAAACTTGCAGGGAATTCAGAATTAGAGAAATGTGGAGAGAATAGATTTTTGATTGGCTCACTTATACATCTCAGGTACTGACTTCCTAATAGGCATATATGACATAATTCTTCACTACAGACAAGAAAATACCTGTATTGATTGCACATGCTTAAACATTTAACAGCAACCTGATGTAGCGATTTGAACATGGCATAGTTACAGTAAATCCCTGCAGCAGAATGTTTCCTGTAGGTTTGTTTGTCTATATAGGCAAGTTTAATGATGGCTATAAAAATCCCCGCATTGCCATCTGGAAAGTTCCTACCCTGGTTGATTATTTTCTAAAGAATTCCTCACAATTTGGGTTCATTACCAAAGTTCTGCTTCGTGATCCAATCCTACCTAACAAAAAAGTTGAGTGTATCACCTAGCAGTAATCGTCACATTTCAAACCTATTAACCCCCCCCCCCTAATTAATTAAGAAACTGGTTATTCTCTTCCACCCTTTCTCTGGTTTTTAAGTTTCAAGGTTCTTGGATTTTTAGCATAGTGAAGTGAGAGAAACTACTTTTATCATCGAGGAACTCATTTTCAAAAAGACCAATGTGTGATTGATGAGGTTGATATTACTTTGAAATGGAGATACTTTCTCTGGAAGTCAGAGGCGCTAATGTGACAGGAGGTTTTACATTTCAAGAGATGAGCTTGAGACTTGCCAGGAGTTTTCAAATACCCAAGTAAAGGGGAAAAAGGAGTCTCCCATTTTAGAAAGAATACAAAAGCAAAAGAACCTGCTGTCAACCTCTAAAACCATATTTGGAGACAACCAAAGAACAAAAATGAGATATAAAGAAGGGAAAAGAATGTAATTAATAAAACCAAACAAGATTTTGAAAAGAGAAAGAAAATGGGAATCAAGAATAACAGCAGGGAAAAGATAATTTTCAACCCGAACAGCTTGTTTGTGGAAAGTAAGAGTTCTTTATGAGAAAAAGAAATTAAAAATTCCAAAGAATAAAGACAAACTGAGGCAATGAATAATATACAGTACTTTGAGTCATTGATTCATCATATAGTTCAGTTTTGTACTGATACATTAAGTTTGTGAATATACCTGACAGCTTACCTGTTACAACTCTAGATAGGAATCCAGCTAATTTCAAGAGGAAGGAAACCTCTTCCTCCACAGTCAGTACTGGAATGCATTTTTTAAAAAAAATTCTCCCATCAGAAAAGTAAAAATCTTGATGACTGTCAGCTTTCTTTATAAGGTTCATTTATTCTTGAGTACTGTATAAGAATAGACTGCCAAGCGGATTCCAGTTTGAAATATATCAATTTACACTAAAGGCATGGAAGGTACTTTTTTCTACTTTATGTAATTTCTTCTACATAGGAATTCTTTTTTCACATATTGAAATTTACAATACATAGAAATATAGGAAAGAGAAAAATAGTTTCATGAGCTGATTGCTTGAAACAATTGCCTTTTGCTCATTAGAGTACTGAAGATACAGTAATGTCATATTGCATATAGATAGTAATATTTATCTCATTTTCTATATCCCCAAGTCTAAGCTAACAAAAAATTGAATGTAACAAATAAAATAAGAAAGGTTTATCATTACAAACAAAACCTTAAAAAAATTGTACTGTAGCCCAGGGGTGGGTTCTAATTTTTTTTACTACCGATTCTGTGGGCGTGGCTTATTTTGTGGGCGTGGTTTGATGGTCATGTGACAATTCTTTAGGATTTAACAGAGGTACTGGTCTACCAGCCTTTTAACTGGTTGTAGAGCTGTACCGGTCTACCCATTTGTTCTTGGAGAGTCCTGGTATATCCCTTTTGTTTTTTGAGCGTCCCGGTCTACCCGTTTGTTTTTCGAGCGTCCTGGTCTATGCATTTGTTTTTCGAGCGCACTGGTCTACCACCACACTGCCTTTTAACACTGATCAGCTGTAGGGCGGCCCTTTGAAGCCCCCCAGCAAGTGTTTAAACAGTTTTTTTCCTTCCAGCTGATCAGCTGGGACTAGGGAAGCAGCGAAAAATTGGGGGCAGGGCCAAATAAAAGGTAAGAATAACCCGGGGGGGGGGAATGGGAGGCCCCAGCTCCCGAACAAAGAGAACCGGTTCGGTGATGTCATATCGTCACCGCTACCGGCTTGGCTGAACCGGGCCGAACCAGGAGGAACCCACCACTACTGTAGCTCTTGGAACCTAGAAGTCACCTTAATCTTACCGGGGAATCCAATGGACAATTTTTCAACTTTACAGACTAGCACTGATGATGTTATCTAATTTGGGTAATGAAACATCTGCAAGAAAACAAGCAAGCTCAGAGAGCACCAAGGACCCCTCATGTCAACCTTGAGCTACAAATATTCTCCTTTATTACAACCTTATATTTTAATATGCTTTACAGTGTGTGAACATTTTATTTAGTGGAACCACAGCTGTTCTATAGATTTTCATCCACTAGTGTTTCACTTGCTCCTTTGAAAACAAATAGGGCCCTGATTAAAATGTTATTTTTTTCACCCCTTTGATTGTATAAGCAATGTTTCTGGAGTTAACAACTATCCCAAAGGCACCTACATTATGAACCAAAAAGAGGTATTCATGGGACCTGCATATTAAGCTACAGTTTGCTTTAACCATGGTTTGTTAAATACATTAGTTTTTTTGGCCCATCTATTTTTAGTATTTCTATCTTTGTATCTTTGGATATGTTAAAAGCTGGGACAGAACACAAAACCAAACCTGGAAATAAGCCATGAGGCCTGCCTACACAACATTGTAAGCCACATTTGAAAACACTAAGACAAAAATAAAACAGGTTTTTCAAACTCTGCCAGACTATCCATGGCTTATTTACTGATCTCTCTTAGCAAATCATGCTAAATAAGAAAGAAGTCAAAATGAAGCATAATGCAGGGCAATATGCTATCTGTCCAATGTTAGTATGAATTTTACTTCCTCTCTTTTCAGGAAATCTAATAGGATAAAGCAATTTGATGCACCACACAATACAGTTATACAGAGCAAATAACATAGAGAAGAAAGATAGGAGGGAAAGAATGTGGAGTATGGGCACTAGACTAGCAAGCATATCTTACTAGGTTTTTTACACTTACTGTTAGTGCAACCAGCTTCATCAATTCCACTTTCACAGTCTTTTTCTCCATCACATTTCCAAGACGCAGGAATGCATTTATTGCTGGAGTCTCCACAGCTAATTTTTTTCAGCTAGACATACTTGTTTGGCTACAAAAACAAACAAACGGAACACAGTTAAAGTTACCCAGGCCAAGAATATATTGTATCCCATCCAGCATTGCTTTGACTTTTACAAATGTAAACATTATTTATAATAGTTCTGAAAAAAATTGGATTTCTTTTTCTCCCTCATATCTCTGAAAGCTTCAAATAAAGTTACAGAAAATAAATTTATCCAAGATATTATGCACCACTAATAGTGCATCTGCATAGATTCAGTTTTTTTTCATGAAGGAACTATTCATAAATTAGAAAATAATACTGCTTAAACTCACTGACCCACATACAACTGGAGTAAAAAAATTACAAAATGTATTTCTGACTTTTTTTTCAAAGAGAGGAAGATAATTTAGGGAAGCTGCTTATTTGATCAATTCATTGAAATTGGCTTTCTGTGTAGTATTTTTATGGTAAAATATTTACTCTTATTTGCATATGTGCTGTCATATCTTGATAATATAATAATTTCTTTGATGGCCCTAAAACTGGAGAGTCCATCCTTTTTTCTTAAAAAAAGAGAAAAGAAATTGGATAACCATTTGTCTGAATGTTGGATAACCATTTGTCTGAAGTGGTGTAGGGTTTCCTGCCTAAGCAGTGGGTTGGACTAGAAGACCTCTAAGGTCCCTTCCAACTCTGTTATTCTATTCTATAAATTTTAGAAACTCTACAGAATACATGAACAAAGCTAAACTTTTCTTTGGACTGCATCAACTGGGAATATAAATATACCCCCTCCCACCGGGGTTGTGTGTGTTCTTTTTTTCTGTGGAGGAGAATACAAAATTTAGAAAACAAAATGGAAATACACCCAAAATTGCCTTGGAATAAGCCTCACATTCACTTTACAATCTATAAATAAATAATATAAGACAATATTAATAATGTAGGAAATACAAAGTGTAGTGTTTGACATGGTGAACAAATTTATGGAGGATGTTTACTTAATACATATTTTAGAGCACTGATAAGGATAACCCTGAAGCCAATGACTGCTTACAAACAATAATCTAATAAATTTTCTTGGAAGTAAGTCCAGCTTATTTTAATGGACCTCACTTCAGGAAAGCTAATAAAGACTGCAGTTTCAGATGCAGAAATGCCTTAATTTTGTATATGCAAAAATATGAAAATTCCGAATACTGGAAAGCAATATTTAATATTTCTCCAATTATCCCAACTGTCCCCTAATTGCATTCTCTTTTTCAGGTATTCATTTTTATGTTTGGGATACTTAACTAGGTAGAAACATATATTACCAACTTAAATCTGATCAGCTGTCATAAAGATGGCACCACTAACATTTTATATTGGAATAGAATACTTTATTGGTCAAGTGTGATTAGACACACAAGGAATTTGCCTCTGATGCATATGCTCTCAATGTACATGCAAAACAAAATAATAATAATAATAACAATGATGATGGTGATGGTGATACCAGTAAGAGAATATAGTAGAACAGACGAGAAGGGTAAAAGTAATACAGCCATACTACATAGGTAAATAGACACGTGGGAATTAGGTGTTCAGCAGAGTGATGGTATTAGAAAAAAAACCAGTCTCTTGTGTCTAGTTGTTTTGGCATGCAATGCACTATAGCGGCGTCCCAAGGGAGGAATTGTCCAGGATGTGAGAGGTCTGTAGATATTTTCTTAGCCTTCTTTCTGACTCATGCAGTATACAGGTCTGTGGTATGCTATTGTATGTATTGTATATTATATATGTATATGGTAGATAGGTATATTGATGACACTCTAACTAGTGCCTCCAGCTATAGACGTTTTTCCCTTAGTTTAACAACTACATTTTATTTTTATACACATTAGTTTGAAACTTTCCCAAAACAGAGTACAGTAAGAGACTGCAACTGGGGAAAATAATAAAGAGGTCTTCTGACATTATTTGAGAAGTATACTCTCTTTATAAAAAAGACATGAGATTAATCATTTCAATGAGGCAGAGAATTTTTTCTCCAGACTAGTGTCCTCCACACAGCAGGCTTAAATTCTAGGATTTCAATTCTGGAACTAGGAGTACTATAATTAGGCTGTGATGCAATAATTGGATGGAAAATATTCATTTATCTGATTTTCATGCCTCTTTGGCAGGCACTCAAAGTTGCTTACAAAACACAGGACAAAACCCTCTTAGTTGCAATTGAGTGGAGAGGGAAGCATGCGCAAATGGGCTTTTCCATCATATCTCAACAACTACACAAAACTGAATAATTAACTAACACATAGAAGCTGCCAATAGGCAAGGAGTTAAAGGCTACTCTGCTTTATTTTAATTTTGGCCTTTTAAGTTGCATTTTGAGATACAGAGTTAAGAAGAAAAATTACAGTTAACAAATGACAAATCAGTGCAAAAAAGTTCTAGGAAAAAGGCCATCCATTTGTTAATGTTTCAACTGGAAGCAAATGTTGATCAATATCAACAGCAGGCTGCAAATAAAAACTCAGCTGCAGGTGCAAATTACGTCTACTTAGCAATTCTTGCTTCCATCACTTTCATCTTTTTTTGTGGCTTAACAACTTGCAGTTTGAGTTTCCCCGAACCTAGGATAAAGAAAGGGTTAACCTGATAAATGACAGGGAGTGGTGTCAAGGTTTATGTTGGTGCAAAACATAGGGAAAACAGAGTCTTTCAAAAACAGACCATTAAAAAGACTTGGTTAAAATGTCAGACACATCAAGACCAATTTATCACCATGAGGCACAAATGCCAAGGATGGACAACAATGCTTTATTTATACAGAGACAAGAGGGAAGACAAGCAAGACGAGTCCATTGACTTGCCACAACCAATGGCCCATTCATTCTTGGTTTCTTTACACCCCAACAGGACAAATTCTTTCATTAAAATTGTTGAGCCTAACTGGCGCCCCATTGCTTGGCTTCCTCTTGTGCTACTGCTGAGCCTTTCAGGCACAGAAGCATTATATATATACATATATATTCAAGGGAATGGCTAGATAACAGACATTGACTTTCACATGACCATTTGTCGGGTTCTCACCATACAGGTGCTCTAGGGGCATGCAAAAAAATAAAAATCAGTCCCTACTTCTTGTGGGAAACCTGCAGATCTTTTCAATCTTTCAATAACAGACTAGACGGTTTCCGAGAGCATGAAACAAGGTCTATTTTTGTGGAAATGTTATTTTGAACAAGAAGGCCTGCTTACCACTATCCCTGCTTTAAGATTCCCTATTGTTCAATTTCTTATAAAATATGAAACAGTATACTAAGAAGATCCAAGGTTTCTCACAAATGTTATGTGTAAACTGCTAATTCAGCCTCAGGCATTAGCAGCTACATATATAGCAGCATCTCCGGGTGCCGTCGGCTGGGCAATGTTGGCTGACGATCCCCAGGGGGAGAGCATTCTCTGTGGGGGCCCCTACCCTCTGGAAAGAGCTGCCCCTGGAGATTCGTAGGATTCATGACCTTCGTACCTTTCGTCGCGCCCTAAAAACATTATTATTCCAACAAGCAGGGCTGGCCTAAATAATAATAATATTTTACTATTTTAATGGGTTGTTTTAAGAGTTTTTTGGCCAATTTATTTAATTGTTTTAAATTGCTTTTAATTTTTATTTTGTCATGGTTTTATTTTTGGCTGTACACCACCCTGAGTCCTTCGGGAGAAGGGCAGTATAGAAATTCAATTAAATAAATAAATAAATAAATAAATAAATATAATCCATCCTATTGCACAACATATGATTCTTATACCCTTGGGATTGAAGCCAGTGAAACTCTGTGAATAGTACTTAATTCCTACTGAAATCATGGGATTCCAGTTCAGGTTCCCCACTGTTTTCAGAGGCACTGGATTTACACACTGTCTAATATAATCCTTTGAGACTAGTAAGGATTTAAATTCATGAATTAGGCTCATCAATAATCCAGCTAGATTTCAATACTAGTGACATCGCTGGTGCTCACTAATTCATTCAATATTTGGGCTAGGGAACTTTTGGACAATCATGAAACATTAGCATCTCTAACATCATAAGTGCCCAGAAAAGAGTTCTACGAAGTGGAGATTTTCCCCCCTTCCCAGAATACAAGATTAGACTAAAATCTTCAAGGGATTAGACAATTAATCTCTAAAGGATCGACAACATACAGAGTAATTCCATTTTGGAAATGCCTCATTCATTTCTTAACTCTTTTTAAATACTGCTGAACTTCAAGCAACTGCTAGTAGTATGTTCTAGAGTGAAATGAACAGAAGGAATTGTTTAATTGTATTCTCAGAAGAACTGAGATAAAAACACTTGTCTTGTGGGCACCAATAAAACAAAATGAAAACAACTTGGTTGCCAATAAGAAAAAGAAAACAACACAAGGTTGAGAAGAAATAAAGAGAGGCTTGTATAAGAAAGGGATGCATTAGAAGTCATTAAGGACAAGCAAAACCAATAGTCCAGATCTGTAGGGATGGTATTAATAAAGTCCCAAAGGTGATTTTCCCAAAAAACAACCGGTCTTTCTTGGTTTTTTTTCCTCTGAAAACATTTCGCTTCTCATCCAAGAAGCTTCTTCAGTTCTGAAGAACCGAACATTTTCAAAGGAAAAAACAAAGAAAGCTCAGTTTCCTTTGGAAAAAGTACCTTTGGGGCAAGATTTAGAGGATCTGGATGATTTAGAACCATGATGGCGAACCTATGGCACGTAGCCATATTGGTGGGCACGCGAGCTCAGCTCATTTTTGGGCCTTCTGGGAAGCCAGCAAACAGGCTGTTTCCAGCCTCCAAGCTCCTAGAAAGGCTCTGGAACCTGGGGAGAGAGAAAAACGGGCCTACCGGGCCCACAGTGCCAGGACCAAGGCGGAGCAGGGAGGTCGCGCGCGCATATGTGTGGGCAGGGCGCATAGAATTATGGGTGTGGGCATGCATGTATGTGACCTCCTCCCCATCCCCCCCCGCTCCTGGCACGCGATGGCAAAAAGGTTAGCCATCACTGATTTAGAATGTC